TGGAGGGATGCTTTGGAACTCACTATCTAAAAGTGTGTGCGTTTACTCTTAAACCCTCAATTCTACAAGGAGGTCTAGGTCCTTGATAGACGCTCAAGACTCCCGACGAGGTCACAGGCATGGCTGGTGAACAGACCTGTAAACTCTGCAAAGGAGAAGAGGGGCCGTCCTACATGAAGAATGTCGGATTCTTTAAAGGTTTACGTTTCTTGGGTATGCTTAGATCCTATCTGAGGACACGACTTTATCTAAGCTCTTTAAAGAGGAAATCTCAGACTCCTCCTAAAGAAAAGAGATCTTAAGTCACTAAACCAAAGTCCCTTAGCAGCGAGACCTGAGATCTTCCTCTGAGGAAGGGATCCAACCTACCTGTCACTCCTGGGGGCTTCCCACCATCAATCATGCAGATGAGACCCCAGGACCAGGACTGACAAGTACGGGCTGAAAAGAGCTCCCAGACCTCACCTTGAAGTATCTTAGCATACTTGGGGCCCCTAATATCAAGCCCTTGCGGGGAAATGAGGTTTCATCAGGCCGTCACCACCAGAGAAGCATGTCAGGCCCAGCAACAAGACCTAGGACTCTTGGACCAATCCGAAACAACATTTCCTTGGGTCCCTTCTCAGTCTGGTGGACTCACGTGCTGTTTGTTATCCGCCAGCCCCTCACCTTGCAGCCCTTACCTGCTCGACAGTGGCAGGATCCATGGCCTCGATGCGTGCCGCAGCCGCTTCGTATTCGTCTTCACTGTTGTAGCCTGCTCCGACCTCTTCACGTTCCGGACTGCCCCCGCCAACTGCGCCAACGCCGGGAGCTTGACGCCGCCGCTTGCTGTGCCCCGGCCCCGAGCAGCAGCCGCCCACGCCCACGGCACCACCCACGCCCACCACCACCCCTGCCGCGCCCACCCCCGCAGTTGCCGCACCAAGAGTGTCGCCAGGACCGCCGCCGGGGCCACCAGGGCCCCCACAAGGAGGTGGAGAAGCCTGCTGTGGCCGAGGGCCCGCCACTGCGCCAGGAGGCACGGCTAGTGCCCAACGATGAAGAGCACCGGGCGGCCCCGGTAGCGGGCCCTGGGGTGGTGGTGAAGCCCGGGGACGAGCCCCCACGACGCCGGAGTCACGGTCGCGCTCTCCTCCACCCACGCCCGTGCCGCCGCCGCCCACGCCCACACCCCCGCCGCGCCGAGGCGCTGGGGGCAGCGGCCCGGGCGGCGGCGGTTCGTTGGCCGGGTCGGCGTCGGGAGGTGGCGGCTTCTTTTTGGGGAGAATAGTCATGGCCGCACCGCCAAGTACCCCACAGCAAACCAGACGCTGAGAACGCCGGGAGAGAACCCGGATGAGGGGGCTACTGTTGTGCGCGAAGCACGATGGGAACAGCGAGGCCTGGATAAAGAGCTCGGGACACCGGTTCGAGAACTGTAGGCAGTACGCAGGTCACGCCCGGAGGAGATCCCGGATGTGAGGTCCAATAGGATGGTTCAAAGACGAATCTGTCTGTCGTAGTCTTTTCTCCCTCCAAGTCCAGCCAAGCTTATTGCTACCTTGTTCCGGGATCGGCTTCAAAGGAAACACAACCAAAACAAGCACCTCTTCGCCCCGCCCCTTCACAGGTTCTTGAACTACCGGGTGGGGCCTCCCGGGCTGTGCGCACGCGCAGCAGGACACAACCCTGCCTCTTGTTCGGAAGTACGTGGGCAAAATTGTCGCGGCGGTCACAACTGCAGACACCAGCCAATTGAAGAAGCTGCGTAAAGCCTTGACAACACCCACGAGCCAATCAGGGGCGAGCGCTTGCTCTCTCGTGTCCTCAGTCTCAAATTTCAAAGTCTGCAGCGGTGATCCTAGCTTTTTTCTTCGGTCGCGTTCTGTTCTTTACTTTCCCCGAGGTTCTAACCCACAGGTATCGGTACTATGAATAACCAGAGTAGTCGGCCTCCCGATCAATACAACTCGTGTTCTCAAGGAGTCCATCCGGAACTCACTCACACTCACTGGAAAATATCAACATTCCCAGAGCGTATCATCCTCTGTAGCGTCACTTCCGATTCCTCCCAGCTGTAAACCCGAAAAGGCGGACCCTGCTTCACCCTGACAACAAACGTAATCTTGCGGTGATTGGTTCACGGATTCTGTCCATCACTTTAGATGGGCCAATCGCTAGACAGACATGCACCATACCGATAGTTAGTGTTTGGCGGAAAGACACGCCTTTCTGTCACCTCCGCCCTCTTACCCTCACGTTGACCTCCTCAAACTTATGGTTATTGCGCAGGCGCGTACAACCTTCATCACCATTTCCACTCCACCCCCTCCACCCCCCGCATCCCTTAGTTTACTCAGCAAAGAGAATGTTTATGAACCAACACTGTCAGCAGCGAGTGTCCCCCCGTGGTGTTGGCAAAATTCTAGATATTGAGCAGCTAGGACGCTACTAGCTTGGCCCTTAATGTTTGAGTGTTTGGAGCAAGTCAGTTAACACCTGATCCATCATCTATTTCTAGTTCTCTGTAAAATAGCAATAATTTCTGTGTGCTAGAAATTAAGGCCAATAAACAGCCTGGTTCTGCGCATGGCACACAATAAGTACTATATAAATTAGAACCTATGGTAGTACAGGTGAAGGGTCCTGGACTTTGATTCTGTATAAGGAAATCCTCAGTTCTAGGCACCCATAGATCATTATGAACTATATCACCTTGTGCAAATTGTCTCTTGAGATTTCCTAACAAAAGTGCAATATCAAAAATTGGGTTATCATCGCTCTGGAGGCTCAGGCAGGACAATCAAGAGCTCAAAGCCAGGGGCTGGAGAGATGGCTCAGTGGTTAAGAGCATTTGCTGTTCCAGAGGACCCAGGTTCAATCACATGGTGGCTCACAAACGTCTGGAATTCCAGTTCCAGGAATCCAACACCCTCTTTTGGCTTCAGCCTGCTCTAGGCATGCTTGTGATGAAAACACATACATGTAGACAATACCCCTGTTTCCAAGAAAATATATTTCAGGGGAAACAGAAAGACCACTTACCTCCTCCCTTCAGATACTAACCCTAACAAAAGCTTTTCTCTGAAAGGCATCAGTAATATATGGGTACATGTGGGTCCTGGTGACGCTTTCTGTTCCTGAGACTTCACAGTAGGAGGGGACTCCTATCTACTGAGGCTTCTGTGTTCAGGGATTTCTGCCAAATGCTGATGAGCATTCTACCGACTTGTCTTATGGTTGTCTTCAGACCCATATATCTCATTCCCTACAGGCTATCTGCTTAGCACTGCCCACCTAAAACTAAACTCATAGTCTTCATGACTAGCTTTCACCCCATACTTAACTATGTACCTGGCACTATAGGAATAGCTTTCATGTTTCCTTTAACAGCAAAGAGCACCCCCAGCCAGTCGTTGCCCAAACCAGAAACCTAAGAGTCCAATTTAACAGCTTCCTCTTCTCCAATTCCCACTTGCCTCCTGTCAATTCCAAGTCCTGCTCATTCTATCTCTGGAATTTCACAACTTTCCAATTCTAGTGCTATCACTCTAGGCATGCCGACATCCCCTACCAAATGAACGACTACAAAAGCCCTGAACTGATCCTCCTTCACCCAAGACTTTTATCTCCAGACCCCAGTCCCCATGGCCAAAATTCCTCTTCTGAAATGCCAACTTCAATGACTTGTCTGTTTCTGAGTTTCCGGTGGCCACCTTTCTACAAGACCCCTTCTGCAAGAACTCTTGCAGCCTGGACTGTCTGCCTCCGTCCCTTCAGCCTTGCCCTTTCCTTTCCTGCTAGGCTGAACTACTTTCAGTCTCCCAAAGGCCTGGAGCTTGCTCTCTAACCTCCAGGTCACTGGGACACACGGTGCCCTCCACCCGCATTTCAGCCTTTCATCTATTGCCCAACCCCAACTCCTTGCAGCCATACAACTCCTTACATGCTCACCAGTTTAAGCTACCTTGCCGTCTGTATGTTTCTATAATTCATGAATCTTAGTTCCACCCCACTGTATTGCAGCTGCTTGTCTGCCTTCCATGCTCAGCTCTGTACATTAGATATAATAATGCCACTTTGCCCACCATCGTACCATAATGCTAGTACATGATGGGCAGTTAATAAATATTTGATGAATAAAAATTATTGGCTGGACAGTGATGGTGCACGCCTTTAATCCCAGCACTCGGGAGGCAGAGCCAGGTGGATCTCTCTGAGTTTGAGGCCAGCCTGGTCTACGGAATGAGTTCCAGGACAGGCTTCAAAGCTACACAGAGAAACCCTGTCCTGATACAAAAAAAAAAATGTCCATTTCAAATTAGCAACCTGACACAAAAGAAGGTGATTCTCTCACCCAAGGACTGAAGTGTGTTAGTCTGAATCCAAGCTCTGTCTTCTCAGTGGTCTACAGAGCTCAGTCACATACTAGTCTGGTGGAGCCAGTATCCAGGAGTAAACGCAGGGGATATCCATGACCAAAGGGGATATACCAAACTCAGAAATAATTTTATTAGGCTTAAATTTATAGGGTTTTGCTATCAGGAAGCTTAAGTTACCCCTCTAAGTAACTACGTGTTGCTCTTGATCTTGGCTTCTCCATCGGTAAATGAAGGACCTGGAACAGATTAATACCCATGACACACTACCGAGCAGTAGTGGCACACACCTTTAATCCCAGCACTCGGGAGGCAGAGGCAGGCAGATCTCTGTGAGTTCGAGGCTAGCCTGGACTACAGAGTGAGTTCCAGGACAGCCAGGACTACACAAAGAAACTCTGTCTTGGAAAAAAATCCCAAGATACATCAGTCTTGGTACCCTCTGGCTTTCTTCACTGCCTACAGAGACCAACTCTTCAAACCGCCGTCTTTATTTCTCCATGATCCTCATGTTTAAGAATACCTCACTAGCCATCGACCTCCCACACCAGCCCCTTCACTGTTGAAAGAAACTGAGACCCGAGTGTCCTTAAGCCCAAGCCCAAGCCCAGCCCCCAAAGTCAATCCAGAGTCAGTAGATGCTCAGTCCACATCTCTCCTCTTAAGTTTTATTGACTGATGAGAATTTCATCTTTGTCGGCTGCCAGCTTCAGAGGGACAGAGCTGGGAGACAGGAAACCTGAGATATGAGATTTCAGTCCGAGACCACAGATCCAGAAGGTGACCCGAGAGACAAGACTATGTGGAAATTACAGGGAAGGAGGAGGCAATCAAGAAGTCTCTTCTGTCCCTCCCAGGGTTCAGGAACAACCCAGGCCTCTGCCTACAACACTTCTGGACTCCTGCCCAAGACTCCAGAATCAGCCCATGACCTCAAAACCCAGCCCAGCTCTAGCTGGGTGCCAGTCTCTTATCTCAGCAGGTCCAGACTCCAGACCAACCCACGAAGAAAAAAACCACCACAAAAGAGAGCAGTTAGATGTGGCCCATCTGATCAGGGCAGATGTATATGCTGCAGCAAGTCTGAGGCTTTGCATATTGGTACAGCAGCAGCTGCTATTGCTAGAGTTTGCTGGAGGCCCAGCCGAGGGCAGGAGGCAGGAACTCATTTCCAGCAGCCAGGGAAAGGGGTGGTAGTGTTTGTGCTATCTCTGTTAGGAGAAGCAGCCTGACCCCTCAGCCAAAGCATGGGGGTAGCGGGTCACTAGAGAGGCCACAGCCCATTAAGCCAGCCCACGGTGGCATTCCAAGCTTCCAAATCTGGGAATGGCTGCGCCTGGTGAAGGGCAGAGACCTTGCCCCCCTAGAGGCTAAATTAAGAGTGGAGGGTTCTCTTCTCCGAACCTTCCAACTCGCACAGCACAACCGAAGAGCAGAGGGACTCTCAACTCTTCTTGTCAAGCCAGACCTCAAATGTCAGACCACAGAAAGCTTTAACCTGCCTCTGAGGGCCCAAGGGAGAAGCATGCAGGAGGCCAGCTAGGAGAGAGAGGCCAGTCCCAGCATGCTGGGGCAAGGAGGCCAGGGGCCTAGGGAGTCTCAGCGCTTCAGCTCCCATTAGGAAAACCGTCTGGACTGAGGGACGGACGTTCCCCGTTCCCTAGCTACTTCCCCACCAGATGAGCCATTCCATGAAGCTCCACTGCATAGTTCTTGGCAGGGAGCATAAGAGGTCCCCAGGCCCGCCCCTCTTTGCCTCTCCCAAATATGGCTTTGGAAAGGAGTTCGCAAGAATAAAGAAGGCCCTCTGGATGGGCAGACCCAGCCCTCACAGAGAAGAGATCTTCACAGTCTCAGGAAGGAGGCATGGGGTACCCAAGCTGGAGTTCCGGAGGGTGCTGGTGCTCCTGCCACCCCCGCCGCCGCCGCCACCCCCGCCGCCAGGGGAGGAAGGTTGACTCTCGTCTGGCGTGTTGGCCGGAGGGGTGGGGATGCTGATGATGGCAGCCACGAAGTCCCGGCTATCACAGTTCAGGTCAAGGCTGTCATGGGGCTTGGCATTGAGGCTTGAGCGGCTGTGAACAGGGGTGGGGAAGATGGACCACTTTTAAAAAAAACATCTCGATGATTGCCATACAATTGTCACATTCACTAAGCACCTACTGGGTCCCTTGCATCGTGCTACGAATTCTCCCTGCATCCTCAACTATGGTAAAAAGAGGTGCATTCTGGAGTCAACTGGTCTTAGGTTCAAATCGTGATCACATTTTACCACACTGAAAACCTCTTTTATTTGTAGCATGAAAATAAAAATATTCCTTCCCTCATCGGGTTCTTATACAGACCAAATGAAATAATAAATGATATAAAGTGCCTGAACATAGTATACGTACACACACACACACACACACACACACTTTTTGTGTGATGCTGGGGAGTAAATCCAGGGCCTTGCCATGTTTTTCTGTGTACTATATGCATGTCTGGTGCCCAAGGAGGCCAGAACAGTGCATCAAATCACCTGAAACTGGAGTTATGGGTGGTTGTGAGCCACCACGTGAACCCAGATTCTCTGCAAGAGCAACACATACTCTAAATCAGAGCCATCTCCCTAGTCCCTCTATTGGTACCCTTAACAATGGCAAAACTGGCAAAACTCTGGCACGAGTCTATAACAGGAACAGGGAATGGTGGCACACACCAGTAGTTCTGGCACTCAAGAGGCTAAGGCAGGCAGACGCTGAGTTTGAGGCTAGCTTAGGCTGTATACATAGTGAGCCCCCACTTCAAAACCAAATGAAACAAACAAAAAGTTTCAAAATCTGCACTAGGATCTCTAACCCTGAGTCCTCATTCCTTTCTGATTCTGTCCTTCTGAAGTCTGTCCCCCACTTCCTACTTTACCCAGAGTAGTTTCCTTGCCAGACCTCTGATGTACAGAGGTTTCACGGCATTTGCACATCTGGACACTGCCTGGGAAGCGTGTCCTCTAGTTACATGTATGGCTTTACTCCCTTGCCGCCTCCTTTAGGCCTGGACTCAGACACCAGCTCAGAAAAGCTTTTCTTTTCTTTAAAAAAGATTTTTTTTAGATTATTTTCTTTTACTTTATGTGCGTAAGTGTTTTGTCTGCATGTATGTGTGTGTACCACAGGTGTGCCTGGTGCCAATGGAGGACAGAAGAGGGCGTCAGCTCCCCTGGAACTGGAGGTAGAGGTGCTTGTGAACCACCATATGTGGGTTCTGGGAACCAAACTCAGGTCCTCTTCAAGAACAAGAGCTCTTGGGCTGGAGAGATGGCTCCATGGGTAAGAGCGCTAACTGCCCTTCCAGAGGAAAGGGTTCAACTTCCGGCACCCACATGGCAGCTAGCAACTGTCTCTAAGTCCAAGATCTAACACCCTCACACAGACACAGATGCAGGCAAAATATCAATGCAAATAAAAAATAAATAAATTAAAAAAATAAAAAAGAGCCGGGCGGTGGTGGCGCACGCCTTTAATCCCAGCACTCGGGAGGCAGAGGCAGGTGGATATCTGAGTTCGAGGCCAGCCTGGGCTACCAAATGAGTTCCAGGAAAGGCGCAAAGCTACACAGAGAAACCCTGTCTCGAAAAACCAAAAAAAAATAAAAAATAAAAAATAAAAAAAATAAAAAAAGAGCAAGTGCTCTTAACCGCTAAGCCATCTTTCCAGCCCCAGAAAAGCTTTTCTTGACCACATTGCTAAAACTGCACATGGCTCAGTGACAGAGGTTTTTTTTTTTCTTTTTTCTTTTTCTTTCTCTGTGTAGCTTTGCGCCTTTCCTGGAACTCACTCTGTAGCCCAGGCTGGCCTCAAACTCACAGAGATCCGCCTGCCTCTGCCTCCCAGTGCTGGGATTAAAAGTGAGTGCCACCACCGCCCGGCTTTGTTTTGTTTTTTCGAGACAGGGTTTTCCTTGTAGCTTTGGAGCCTGTTCTGAAATGGGACAGAATATTTAACTAACATTTGTGAGACCCTAGGTTCCATTTACAGCACTAAAAAAGATAATGTTTTATCTATTTTTTTGAGACAGGTCTCACTATGTAGACTATGGTTAGCCTGGAACTCACTATGTAGACTAGGCTGGCCTTGAACTCACAGAGATTGGGTGAGTTCTCTGGGACTAAAGGCATGTGCCACCATGCCCAATCTGAAAAAAAATTCAAAGAAAAAAATGAGGCTAGCGAGATGGCTCAGTGGTTGAGCAGTGGTCTTCCAGAGGACCTGAGCTTGCTTCCTAGCACCCACATCAGGCAGCTCACAACCCTCTATAACTCTTGCCCCTGGGGATCTAAAGCCTGGGGCTCCCAAGGACATCTCCAGTCATAGGCACATACCCCCACACAGATACATAATTAAAAATAATCAAAAAGTAACCCCTGTATCATCCTCTGCTCTGAAGTCTCTGGCCACTGTCACTGTTCCTGATTTCTTTTTCACCTGGCTACTTCCAAATGTCTGACCCAATATGAAGTCTGTGTACTTGTTAAGTGTCTTTTTCTATTAGAATGTAAGTTTCAGGACACGAGGATCCACCCCACCACCCCAAGCCTATGTGTGTGTGTGTGTGTGTGTGTGTGTGTGTTGGATGGAATGTAAGGCTTCCTTCATCCTAGGCACATGTTTCTCATTGAGCGACATCCCCAGCTCAAGTGACCCTCCTGCCTTAGCTTCCTGAGTGACTAGGGCCACAGGAATATATGCCACTGCCGCTACTCAGCAAATATTTGAAAGAATGAATGAAGAGCACAGTGCACTAATGTAGGAGTTCCAGCTCTTGATGGCCGCGGCAGAATTATCGTTGAGTTTCAGGTCAACTTGGTCCATAAACAAAGCAAGACCCTGTCTCAAAATTTTGAAAAAATGAGGAGTTTCCAAAACCAACTAAAGGTCCTTGCACAGAGGACTCTGAGTCTGCGCTTGACTTGTCATGAAATCGCAAACCCACGGCCCAGGTTCTGCACGTTCTAACGGTGGTCAAACCGTGAGCCAGGTCCTCACCTCTGAGGGGCAGGGCTCCTCCGAAGCCCTGCTAGCGTGTCTAGCTCCTGCATGCTGCCACGGCTGACGGAGGCAGTGGAGTTGGCAAGGCGGATGGCCCGGCGCTTGGCCCTTCTAGGGCAGCAAGATGACAGCAGGCTGCCAGACCCCATCGGCTGGGAAGACAAGGAAGTACTCCGGCTGGTGCGGCCACCCAGTGACACAGCTCCAAGGGCCTCACTGAAGGTGAGCTCATCCGTGAACTCGTGACACTGTGGGCAGAAGGGAAGCAGGATCACAAGGTACCCCACGCCATGGAAACTGACGCAACTCCCAGACCTTGGCTTAAACAAAGTCGCTCTCCCTTCTCTTTCCTTGCCCACCCTAGAAAGAAGTCTCTCTCTCTCTCTCTCTCTCTCTCTCTCTCTCTCTCTCTCTCTCTCTCCCCTCTCTTTGAGACAAGGTGTAGCCTATGCAGCCTTGGCTGGCCTCAAATTCACTATGTAGATCATGCTGGCCCGAAACTCATTGAGATCACCTGTCTCTGCCACAGACTCAGCCTCATTAAAGGAAGCACCATGCTGTGGTGATATTTTGAACAAATAACATTTGCCAGAAGGTCAGAGGACAGAGCTAGCCACAGAGTTAGCCACAGAGGCCAGGCAGTGGTGGCACACACCTTTGGTCCTTAGCTAGCACTAGGGAGGCAGAGACAGAGATTCATCTGGATTTCTGTGAGTTCAAGGCCACGCTGGGCTACAACGTGATTAATCCAGTGTTAAAGAGAAACAGCCAGGCTGGTGGCACACACTTTTAATCCCCTAGGAAGGTTGAAACAGGAAGGGATGTGTCTGGGTAGAGACAGGAATATAAGGCAGGAGGAGACAGAAACTGAAGCTCTTCCAGCCCGAGGAGCTGGTGAGGTAAGAGGCGGTGGCTGTGACTTGCTCTGCTTCTCTGATCTTTCAGCATTCACCCTGATATCTGGCTCCAGGTTTTTATTATAAGACCACTTAGGATTCGTGCAACACCACGTGATACTTGTAGAGCTCACATGGTAAGTGGTAAGGCTTCCGTCTCAGTGAGGGAAGCAGCTTGGTGCTCAGAAAGACCCCCCCCCCCCCCCCCCGCCACGTGGCATCGGGTTTGGCCTCACCGTAGTCTTCTCTAGACAGTGGAGCAAATGGTGATGCTGCTGTTCGAAAGCAGAACGGCTCCTCACACACAGCGCCTGTCCCTCCCCACTGCCGCTGTCCTGGAACAGATGGAGCAGCGACAGGCAGTGAGCACCTTCCCCTCCTAACCCTGCTCCCCGCAACCCCAGTAAATGCACCTGCCCACCTCAAGGCCGCCATTTTGCTTATACTGCAGGAAGGCGTTCGTGGTACCGCTCTTTGCCAACCGGATTCTTGCCAGGCGCACCTTCTACAGAGAGGAGACGAAAGGAAAGGTTAGGCGGGTGAGGCCAGGAGCAGAGGGTTTAGGGCGTACGGAACGCCAGGGCTCGGAAGGGAGACGGGAGACGGGGTTGGGGGGGTTGGGGGGGGAGTTACCTGCTGCGCTCGGCGCTTGTCGGCACGCTGGTTCTGGTGGTAGATGCGGCTGAAGTTGGAGACAATGACTGGTACAGGCAAGGCAATGACCAACACACCACTAAGTGAGCAGATGGAGCCAAAAATTTTGCCAGCAATGGTGCTAGGCACCATGTCCCCATACCTGGGAAAGGCAGAAGCAGGCAGGGTTGAAGAGGTAGGTGTTCAGTACCCCGCATTCCACCCACCCACTCCTGATGTACTCCGCAAACTTGGCCAAGCACACAGACTCTCTGAGCTTCAGTTTCTGCCTTCCTTTTTAAGTTTGTTCTTGTTGTTGTTGTTGTTTTGGTTTTTGAGACAGGGTTTCTCTGTGTAGTCCTGGCTGTCCTGGATCTCACTCTGTAGACCAGGCTGGTCTCGAACTCACAGAGATCCGCCTGCCTCTGCCTCCCGAGTGCTGGGATTAAAGATGTGTGCCATCACCGCCCAGCTTTTTAAGTTTTATTTTGTGTGCATGAGTATTTGCCTACATGGAAGTATGTGTACCACATACATCTAGAAGAGAGTGTCAGATCCACTGGAGCTGGAGTTAAGGACGCTCTTAAACACTAAGCCATCTTTCCAGCCCTAACTTCAGGTTCTTTTTCTTTTAAGATTTATTTATTTGTTTTTATGGGTACGAGTGTTTTTCATCTATCTATTAAGTATACCTTGCCTGGTGCCCATGGAGGCCACAAGAGGGTGTCAGATGCCCTGGAACTAGAGTTACAGACAGTTGTGAGCCACCATGTGGATGCTGGGAATTGAACCCAGGTTCTCTGGAAGAGCAGCAGGTGCTTTTAACCACTGAGCCGTTTCTCCAGCCCCAGCTTCAGTTCCTTATACTGCAAAATTTAGAGAGTGGGGGCTAGAGAAATAGCTTACTGGTTAGGAATTCCAGAGGACCAGAGTTCAGCACCCATGTCGTTCAGCTCACAGCTATCAGTAACTCTAGCACCAGAACACCCAACACCTTCTGGACTCTGGGGAAACCTGCATTCACATGTACATACCCACATATGGACACATACCATACACATGATTTAAAAAGAGTAAAAATAAATCTTCATTATGTGAAGAATGGCCAGGCATGGTATCCCATGCCTTTAATCCCAGCACTTGGGGAGCAGAGGCAGGCGATCTCTGTGAGTTCGAGACCAGACTGGTCTCCAAAGCGAGTTCCAGGAAAGGCGCAAAGCTACACAGAGAAACCCTGCCACAAAAAAAACAAAACAAAAAGAAGGAGAAGGAAAAGGAGCAGCAGAAGCCTGGAAAGTATCCTCCTATGAAAGATTGGGAGTCTCCAAACTACCCTGCCTTCCTCCAAGCCACCCCTCTCCCATGGAGGTAGAGCTTGTTTGTCAGAAGAGGAAAACAGCTCAGAGAGGTGCCATAGTTGATTTGCCCAGGAGCACACAGCACATTTTGATTTTTCTAACCACAAGACCAATTGGAATGCCTCTGAGAAATTCAGCCTCTGCAATCTTCAGCTTCTAGAGTTTTGGTTAGGCTGCACCCTAAAATGGCTCTTCCTGTCAGGGAGTGGTGGTGGCGCGCAGCTTTAATCCCAGCACTTGGGAGGCAGAGGCAGGAGGATCTCTGTGAGATCGAGGCCAGCCTGGGCTACAGAATGAGTTCCAGGACAGGCTCCAAAACTACACAGAGAAACCCTGTCTGGAAAAAAAAGATGGCTCTTCCTTATCCCTTTGAGTGGCAGTGTTGCTGCTGCTGTTTTTAGTTTTGTTTTGTTGAGAGCAGGTCTCATGTATCCCAGGCAGACCTCAAACTTATTATGTATCAGAGGTGACCTGGAACTTCTGATGCCCCTGCTTCTACCTCCCACTATGTACTGGGATGATGGGCACCTGTAATCCTGCTCAATTTATGTAGTGCTGGAGACTGAACCCAGACCTCTGTGGGTACCAGGCAAGCGCTCTGAGTTGAGCTACATCTCCGGACCTGTTCATTTGTTCTAAGCAGTAAGGACTCTGCTCCAGAGCCTCTGTAACTTGGCCATTTCTAGCCATGTGATAGTCATCTCAGACCATGTCTCACTTACGCATGAGGCATGAGCACCGAATGGCACAGTTGTTCTGAGGACTGTATATGGCAAAAGGCATCAAGATACCTACTGCTAACTCACCGTTAGGACTCAGTATTTATTGATTTGATCCAATCATGGACTTACTTCCAAGCAGAATTCATCTCTACTTTTTAGAAACTTCTGTTCAGTGTACTAAGGCACTGAACAAACTCAGTCATCCTTTCGACAGACACTGAATAGCAAGAGTCTACCTAATCCTAGAGGAGAGTCACAGAATCTGCCCCACACAGTGTCGTTTTAAACACTGTAAGGAGTCGGGGCACATGGATCAGTCGGTAAAATACTTGTGACACACACAAGCATGGGGCCCCAAGTTCAGATCTCCAGAACCCGTGTAAAAAGCTGTATCAGTGGCATGTGCCTAGAATCCAGCCCTGGAGGGCAGAGATAAGCGTAGCCCTGGAGCTCACTGGTCAGCTAATCTAGCTGAATGGATGAGCTGCTGGTTCAATGAGAGAACTGTCTCAAAAAATAAAGGTGACAGCCAGATGGATCTCTGTGAGTTCAAAGCCAGCCTGGTCTACAGAATGAGTTCCAGGACAGCCAGGACTACATGGAGAAACCTTGTCTTGAAAAGCAAACAAACAAATGCCTGGACTCCGGGTAAAGGTGGGCGGAGAGGACCAACTCTACAAAGTTGTCCTCCACTGTCCATATGCATCTTGTTGCATGGACATGCAGACACACATGCAATAATAATAATTTTCAAAATATAAAGTGCATGCACCCCCCATCCCCCACACACTGAAAAACAGACAGAGAGGAAGCTGTGAATGGTGGCACAAGCCTATAATCCCAGTATTTGGGAGACAGAGGCAGAAAAAGGATCACTGTAAATCTGAGGGCAGCCTGGGTGTACAAATTGAGATTCTGCCACAAAACAAAACAGTATGAGAGCTGGGGCAGACCTGTGGCTACTGTGGTGAGGCCGTGTGTTCAATCCCCAATAATGCCCCTCCCCAAACAAGGAAAAGAACATCATGAGTTTGGCGATTCCATTTGTTGTATCTATCTCAACTGTTTCCTCTCAGGGATTGGCAGTAAAAAAAAATAACACTCATCCCAGCACTCTGGAGGCAGAGGCAGGTAGATCTCTGAATTTGAGGCCAGCCTGGTCTACAAAGAGAGTTCTGGGACAGCCAAAACTACACAGAGAAACTGTGTCTTGAAAAATAAAATAATACTGATATAGCCAGGTGGATGTCATAGGCTTGGAGTCCAGACACTCAAGAAGCAAAGGCAAATCCATTGGAAGTTCAAGGCCAGCTCGGCCTACTTCGTAAGAATCTATCTAAATAAAAAAGTAGTGCTGAAAATATCTTCTGGAAAACATCAAGGAATCACAACGACCCAGAGGCTGTGCCCACACAGCAGATGATTCTAGAAGGTTGAGAGACAATGACATGAATGCTCAAAATGGAAAAAAAAAATGGTGATTGGAAGCCATATCCCTATATATCCTGTGCCAGAAGCATTCAGAGAACTCACATGGTATCCCTGAATCCTCTTAAAGTGTTCATTCACCACTTTACAAAGGGGGAAACTGAATCCTATAATCCCAGTAGTTAGGAGGAGGCTGAGGTAGGACAACTGTTTTGAGTCTGAGGCCAACTTGGACGATACAGTGAATCGAGGCAAGCCTGGCCTACATAGCATAACCCAATCTCAAAGAAAAGAGAAGAAAACTGGGACCCTGAGAAAGTGTGAAGAGAAAAGAGAACAACATAGACAATTCTTTAAACCTGACCTGGAAAAATCAAGGTATGTTCAGAGCTGGGAGGGATTAGGAAATTTAAGTATAACTCTATGTTTTTTAAGATAGGTCCATGCTATGTAGCCTCACCGGGCTGGAACTTACTATATAATCCAGGCTGGTCTCAGACTCACAAAGATGTGCCTGCCTTTGCCTCCTAAATGCTAGGATAAAAGGCAGGTCTTACCACACCTGGCTTCTCTAAATTTTTTTAGACAGGGTCTCTTTGTGTAGCCTTGGCTGTCCAGGAACTGGTATGTAGACCAGGCTGCCCTTGAACTTACAGAGATCCGCCTGCCTCTACTCCTGTGGTGGTGGGATTAAAGGTGTGCTCTACCAACTAAATTTTACTTTTTAAAACATTGATGTATTTTACTTTACATGTGTGAGTGTTTTGCCTGCATGTACATTTGTGCACTGTTGTGGAACATTTAACTAGGCAAAGATGTTTCATTTGTTCATGCTGCATTTGTTAACTATGTAGAGATGTGTTTCTTTTGCGTTAATTGACAGGAAGTAGCAGGGAGGAACTTGGTGTGGGTTCTTTTGAGTTGGGGCTGTGTGGAAGGGAGTGGCCTCCCAGAAAAGAGCGAAAGTTAGCCAGTTTCTCTGGGCTCGCAGGTTTTCACCCTGGCCTTGGAATCTCGAGCTTTATTAGACTGATAGAGATTTAGTTAGAACTACCTTTAGCAGCAGCAACAGAGCCACTTTCTGGAGGAGGAGAATTCCCCCTTAGCAGCTGGGCTGCTAGAAATGGAAAGCGCAGCCCCTGTAAGGAAGGTAAAACAGTAGTGCACCACATGGATTCAGTGGCCCAGGAGGCCAGATGAGGGCACTGGATCCTCTGGAACTGGAATTGCAGGTGCTTGTGAGCCGCCATGTGGGTGCTGGGAACCAAACTTGGGTCCTCTGCAAGAGCAGCAAGTGCTCTTAACCAGTCAGCCATCTCTGCAGCCCCCTAAACTTTTTTCTAAGAGATTTATTTTGCCAGGCATAGTGGCACATACCTTTAATCCCAGCACTTGGGAGGCAGAGGTGGGCAGATCCCTGTGAGTTCAAAGCCAGCCTGGTCTGCAGAGCAAGTCCCAGACCAGCCAAGGTTGCATAGGGAAATTCTGTCTCACAAAACTAAAAAACAGATGATTTTTTAAAAATTATTTTTAATTATGTATATGTGTATATCTGTGTACATGTATGGGCACAATTGTGCAGATGCCTCGATGGTCAGAGGCATCAGATACCCTGTATCTCGAATAACAGGTAGTTGTGAGCTATCCAACCTGGGTGCTGGGAACTGAACTTGGGCCCTCTGCAAAAGAAGTATGTACTTCTTTTTAAAAAAAAATTATTTATTATGTATACAGTGTTCTGCCTGCAGGCTAGAAGAGGGCGCCAGATCTCATTATAGATGGTTGTGAGCCACCATGTGGTTGCTGGGAAATGAACTAAGGACCTTGAGAAGAGCAGCCAGTGCTCTTAACCCCTGAGCCATCTCTCCAGCCCAAAGTATGTACTCTTAACTGGTGAGCCATTTCTCCAGTCCCAGCTTTCTGAATTTTTGTTTGTTTGGTGTTTTTGTTTTTGTTTTTTCCGAGACAGGGTTTCTCTGTGTAGCTTTGGAGCCTGTCCTGGAACTTGCTCTGTAGCCCAGGCTGGCCTCGAACTCACAGAGATCCGTCTACCTCTGCCTCCCGAGTGCTGGGATTAAAGATGTGTACCACCACCGCCCGGCAGCTTTCTGAATTTTTATAGATTAGGAAAATGGAGCTCAAAAGGAGATAAAGGGGCCAAGCATGCTGGTAATACCTGTATATACCAGCACTGGGAAAGTGGAGGCAGGAAGATAATGTGTCTGAACCTAGCCTGGGCTATACATAGCACAACAGCCTTGTCTCAAAAGTGGGGTGGCAGGCAGAGGCAAAGCACATATTCTGCATGTGTGAAGTCTCCATGTGAGGCTCTGGTTTTGGTATCCATTACCATAGAGGCATGTTCTAACCTTCCTAATGTTACAGAGAGAGCGCCCAGCTCAAGGTCTATACTTACCCAAGTGTGGTCATGGTGACAATGGTATACCAGAAGGCAGCAGGGATGCTTGTAAAGTTGGTCTTGCTGGTGCCCTTCTCAGCATAGAACATGACAGTGGCAAAGATGATGATGGCCATAGTGAGGGAAAAGAGGAGAAAACCCAGCTCAGAGGCACAGCTCTTGAGGGTGTAGCCCAGAATCCGCAAGCCCTGGGAGTGTCTGGAGAACTTGAAGATTCTGAAGACACGGAACACACGTAGGGTGACAAAGGCGCCAGAGACATCATCATTCTTGGGCACAAAAAGCCCAATGTAGTAGGGCAGGATGGCCACCACATCGATGAGGCTCATCACGCTGCGCAGGAAGCGGCAACGGCTGGGAGCGGCGAAGAGCCGCAGAAGGTATTCCCCGGTGAATATAAGCACGCAGGCTGTGTCCATACAGAAAAAGGCCATTGGGAAGCGGTCACCACAGGGCTGCTCTCTCGTGGGTCGCCGTGCCGGGCCACGGCATGGGATGGTCTCCACTACATTGGCGATGACTGAGACAGCTATGAAAAAGCCAGTCACATAGTAGAAAACCAGTGCTGCAGTGCTCGTGTGTGGGTTTTCGAAGGCCCTCCAGAGTCGCTGTCGCAGGGAGCTGCCTGCGGGAAGGGCTGGCCCTTCCCCGGCCTGCTCAGCCTCCTCGTCTTCCGCTAGGCGCTCCGCGTTCTCCTTCTTGCGGTCCCTGTACTCTTCAAGACAGCAGTCGCCCACCAGCTCTGGTACTAAGCCATAGAAGGCCAGCTCCTCATCAAAGGCCTGGATGCACTCCTGTCTGGGGCAGTGCAGCCGGCCTGTGCGGTAGAAGTTCAGCACGTGCCGGAACATGTCTGGGTCACGATCAAAGAAGTACTCGCCTGATTCAGCATCATAGAAGAATTCCTTCTCCGAGCTGCCCAGCAATGTGTCCGGGTAGCGATCCAGCGTGTTTTTCCAGGTCTCAAAGCGCCGACCACTCACATTCACCACCAGAACCTCATCCCCTCGGGATGCCTTCACCTCCGGTGCAGGGGGCAAGGGCTGCTGGGCTAAGGGCAGCCAGCCCACGGCTGCAGCCCTTGCAAATGGTAGCCATGTGGCCACACCTGCCGCCATCCTGCAGCTCCCCAGGCCCACGGAGACTTTGGGGGTGTGATGTTTAGGAGAATGTGGCTATCTCCAGGATGATGGAGGCTTGGAGAGACCCTGGGCTACCCAGACAAGGAAACCGGTGTGTGTGTGTGTGTGTGTGTGTGTGTGTGTAGAAAGAGAGAGAGAGACCAAGAGGAACCCGGAGGAGGAGGAACTAGAGAGACAGACAGGAGCTTGGGGGGGGGGTGTTCTAAAGGACTAAGAAGGGGTTAAAGCGCTAAAGGTACCAAGAAGGATCCTCAGGTCTAGACTGACATGATTGTAGAGTCAACACGTTCCTGAGGGTGTCCAAAGGGACCAAGAAATAGGTGGGGAGTTGTTCACACCCCCAAGAGTTCCCACTAAAGGAGGGCCTGAAATCCCTCAGTTGAGTTGAACAGGAGACAGATCGGGGCATTCAGAGAGTTGGAGAATGGGACCAGAGGTGTTTGAAAGACACTGAAGGGCTGTCCACACCCAGAAGACTTATGGGAAAAGATACCTGGGTTGGAGCCCCCTTGCAGATCAGGAAAGGGGACTGGAGCATCTCAAGGGTGGCGAGAGAGCCTGGAGGTTGTAAAGATGCTAAAAAGTGTCTCGGGAGTGACTAGCACTGCCAAGACTAGCCTGGAGGATGTTGCCTACAAGCTGCAGGAGTTCTGGGGAAGCTAGGGGAGGTGAGGGTCCTCCAGTGAGGACTGAATAAACGGGATAGTGAAAGTGGTGTATGGGACTGGCTTCTTTTTTAAGAGGCTGGGAGATATCCGGCAGCTCTCCAGAGGTTACCTGGAGGGGCTTAGGAAGCCTGGTCCATAGCTGAAGAGCTCTGGATGAGGAAAAGAAAAGGGGGGGGGGTCTGGGGAATCCCAAAGGGTCGACACTCAACTGGACTGAAGTTGGGTATAGATCCCTGAGCACACCAGAAACTCGCAAAAGACTATTCAAAGAGGAAGGGGATTCCCTCAAAATAGGTTGGATAGGGGGCGGGGTATTGGAAGAAAGTTGGGTGTGTCTTCCAGGAGAAGGGGCTGCTGAACCTCGCAGGAAGATAGTAGGGGAGACCAGGAGAAGGCTGGGTCCCACCGTTGAGGGCAGGTCTGAGGAAACCACACTCCGGAGGGGCTGGCGGTGTGTGCCCAGCAACAGCAGGAGCAGCGGCGGCGGCGGGAGCAGCAGCAGCACAGGAGGAGGAGGAGAGCCACAGCCAGGCCTAGGAGGGAAAGGTGGCACGGGCGGGGGCGGGGTGGGAGACAGGGGGAGGAGGCTGCTGGGTCCTTGGAAGGAGGCTCAGGAAGGACAAGGTCCAGTGGGACCCCTGGAGACTGCTCCAGGATGGACTAGGGCATGGGGACCGGACCAGGAAAAGACAAGGACAGAGCTATTGATGGTCCCCTCCCTCTCCCCACAGGGCTGTCCTCACCTGTGTCCCTGCTGCAGCAGCAGCAGCAACAGCGTTGGGGCTGGGGGTACCAAACCCCGGAGCTCCTGGCCCCCTCTGCAGAGCTGCCGGAGTTCCTCCTCCTCCAGCGCTCTCTCCCCGCCCCTCTGGAGCTTGTCGGGAGATGAAGCTAGAGGCAGGGAGGGGCTACGTGGCTCCCAGAGCCCCCTCCCCTAGGACAGCTTGAAAGAGACCCTGGGGAGACTCCGCCTCCTTACAAAGCTGGTTGGGCCTCAGTCGCGTCATCTGGAAAATGGGGGTGGCAGGGAACTTTGCCAGTTCTCCCCACCTCCTACTTCCTGGACTCCCCCTTCTTTGTGCCCAGCTCCTACCCCCACTGCCCCCAGGGGCCCTCACCCCCACCCGTCTGAATCAGCAGCACTTAGCAGAACCAATCGATGGGGAGGCGTCTGTTAATGGCCCCAGAGCGGAGTGCCACAGGGAATGATGCAGTGCTGTGTCCCCTCCCTGCCCCCCCTCTGTGGAAGGGCGGGGAGAGGTGGGGGAGGGGATTGGTGGGGATGTTTCTCTAGATGACCAGGCGCCAGATCCACTCTGGGTGTGGGGGGGGGAGGGCATAGGTCAGAACCCAACTTCTAAACCAGACTTTGATTGTAGGGCTCCAGTATACAGCTTCCAGTTTGGGGGTGCAAGATGCAGAGCAAAGGTAGTGCAATGGGGATAATCCAGGGACCACCCCCTACCCGGAGGCCCCTTGCCAAGGAGCAGGCTTCCCATCTGTCTGTATCCAATGCCCTCAAATCACCTTTCTCTCCATGGTGGGCTCGCTCTGCTTCAGAACGCAGAGTACTGAATGGCCTGGGTTAAGTCTGTGAGTTCTAACCCCAGCTTTGCCAGACTTGCCGTCTCCTTTATCAGGGGACTTGTTTCCTCAGTTGTCAGAATTATTCCAACTTGAAAGTGTCCTTTTAGGCATTAACTGAAGTAAAGTGAATGGGGTTGGCACAGGTAAGGCCTGGCAGGCTGCCTAGTCTTAAGTAACTAAAGGTGTGTGCTGAGCGTGCAGTAAAGTGAACTGCCTAACCTTTCAATGCATTTACCCATCCATGCTATTCCCTTGCTTACTTTGCACACTCCTGATTTGTCCATTCTTACACCCATCCATCCGCTTACCCATATGACCAATGATTCTACCTATTCTTCTCCACACCCATCTATCCATTTGCTCACCTACCCACTCATCTTCTAGGTAACCTTTTACCAACCTATTCCATTCATGTATCCACTCTATAGCTTCACCTAGCATGGATGCATCCAACTTACCTTTCCCTTTCATTCACTTAGCCGTCCATAACTCCACTCTAGCCATGTCAGTTTACTCCCAACCCATCCATAAATCCACCCATCTACCCACAGAGTTAATTCATCCACTTAGCCATTTGTCCGCCCCTCTAGACATCCATCTGTCCATTTGTATCTCCATTTACCCATGCCCCAGCCACTTACTGATTCATCTACTCATTTATTCATCCAGCCATGCATCCATCTACCTATGCATTTATTCCAGCCATACAAGCACTTATGTACCCCTCAGCCCATCTAACCACTTATCCATCCTCCCATCTGTTCATTCATCTACACCCTCAATTTTATACATATCCACCCATGCACATATCTGCAGATATTTCTGCTCTACTCCCTTGGAGAGGTCTGTCGTAAAGCAGGTGATGGGAGAGCAGAAGAAAAGCTGTAGCCAGAGGTCGGTCACCTTCCCCATTCCAGTGCAATGACCACCCCACTCCCAGCACATCCCTCAGATTGAAAAGAATGAGACCAGACAGTCAGTGGGTGGGCCCGTCTGGCCAGATGGTATTTTGGCTGCATAGCCTTTACACACACACACACTCACACACATACACACATTGCTAGAACATTGAGCATGGACTGCACCCCCACCCAAAATCCCCAGGCCCAAATGCAGAGTAGCCAGGCTTCCAGACATAAATTAAAAAATAAAATAAAATGAGTTGGTCTCTGGAAGGGAGAGCTCATGCAGAGTTGAAGGCAGATGTCCCTAGGAGCTAGGGTCAAGAAGAACAAAATCCCTGTCCTTCCCTCAGGATCCTGCCTCCCCAAGGGCCTCTGCCATATGACTGGGGTCATCGACACCAGTCATAGACAGGCCTCCAGCCCCTTTAATGTCCGTCTCCCAAACGATTAGATTTGGTGCCAGCCTCCATATTTTCCCACCACAGCCCAGGGGAGTGAGTGGCATTCCGGAGGGGGTGGAAGTAGGTGCAGCCTGTGGGTCTTTAGTTGGCTTCTCCAGGATCTAGGTCTGGGTCAGGGGACCCCACACATTCCTTGCTGAGCCGTACAATTTCCTGGGATAGAACTTCCATGTCCTAAAAAACAAACGAGCCATCAGGAACCAGAGAAGGGGGGGAGGGGCAGCTCTGTTAGCAAATAGAGGAGTTATCTGTAGTAAGAGGGACCGATGGGTTAACCAGTGCCCAGTGCTATCTGGCCTTGGATGGAAAGATCCACCACCTTCTCTTCCAACAAATGTGAGCTGGCTTCTCCAAGGCAGGACCTGCGTATGACTCCCTTAGTGATGAAGGAGTATTTGGGTCGGGGTGGGGGAACTGATGTGTGGGTGGACCCATCAGAGATCTATGGCAGACAAATAGGTTCACAAATGAACTTTGTAGAGGACAAAAAGGTAGGTAGGCAGGCAAGTGACAAGTAGGTGGGTAAAAGGGTGACTTATGAGGAGATAAAAGAATAATAAAAGATAATGCATCATCAGGCGCACGCCTTTAATCCCAGCACTTGGGAGGCAGAGGCAGGAGGATCTCTGTGAGTTCGAGGCCAGCCTGGTCTACAGAGCGAGATCCAGGACAGCCAGGCTGTTGCACAGAGAAGCCCTGTCTCAAAAAACAAAACAAAACAACAACAACAACAAAAGAATGATGCATTAAGAAATGGATGGAAGACTTGGAGATGATGGTTTAACAGCGAGGCAATAAGGTAGGTCGACGGTAAATGGTGAGTACATATATGAATGAATGAGTGGGTAGAAGGACAGATGGACAAGTGGTAGGCTAAACTGGTAAGTTGATTGGAGGGTACAAGACGCAATCACAAAAGGGTGGTAGATGACTGGAAGGTGGTAGTTGGGAGGACAAGGGCCAGCTGGAAGGACACAGTCAGAGACTGGGTGGGTAGGGAGGCAGGTGGTTGGAGGGACAGGTGGGCAGGCTGGTAGTCCACACTCGCCTTGTGCAAGTGCATATTCTTGGTGAGTTGCTCCTCCAACATGTTCTGCAGCTTCTTGTTCATTTCCCGGAGGTTCTCATCGCCGGGCTTCACCAGGTCTCTCAGGACACTGCCCAGCCCACTCCGGTCTGTGTGGCCTGCTGCCACAGACACATCTGCAAGGGTCCAGGCTGAGCACCACCCCCTCCCTCGGCAGAGCCGGGGGGAAGGAGGGAACAGGGGAGAGTAGGCAGAGCCAAGGGGGAAAGGAGGCCAACACAGCAGGCAGGCAGGGAGGGAGAAAAGCAGTGTGACGTTGGGGCAGAGGCTTTGACATGTGAAAGCCTGCTGTCGTTAGTTATGTGACTCTGAAAAATGGGGATAATTCCTAACTCATGGTGTTGGGAACATGTATACGCCTGCACGTGACAGACAGAGCACATAGTAAACCCTCAAAGCATGTCAATGGATAGTACTAACTCGGAAAAATCAGGAAGTGGGGCAAGAGTTGAAAGCAAGGGATAAACTAGAGGGGAGAGAAGGTAGCAGACAGATCGGAGAGGAAAGGACAGCCATGGAGGTCAGAGAAGAAAACAGGGACGAAGCTACAAGGAATGAAAATGTATGGCTCGGTGCAGGCCTGCACACCTGGAATCCCAGCACACCTGGAATTCCAGCACCTGGAAAGCTCAGGCGGGATTGCTGAGAGTTTGAGGCCAGCCTATGTTACAAAGCAAGTACCAGGCTAGCCAAAGCAACAGAGCAAAATCCAGTTTCAAAGAACCAGCAAAGCAATCAAAATGGAAATAGAACAATAGTGCTACTAAGAGAAGATGAAGTAGAGGAACAGAAAAAAAAGCCACATAAAGAAATAGAAAGCAGGGGAAGAAAAGAGACAGAGAGGTCCAGGGAAAACACTAGCGAATGGAGGGTTAGAACCGATCAGTACAAAGGGGAGGCCAGATAGTAAGCAAAGCTTCCCCGCTTTCCCCTCCATGGGTCATGATCTTGTCAGTAGCTTCTCGGAGATTCAGGAAGAAAGAAGTAGCAGCATAGGACAATGGAAAAGGGGGGACAGGTGAAGGCTGCACTGGAGGGGAGGGCTGGGGAAGGAGCACTGACCAATCCGGCTGTCCATGACATAGGTCTCGATGATGGCGCTTTTCCGACAGAGGTCCTCTGCCATAGAGGCGCTGCTCACCTCCAGGTGTTTTACCTGCAAGACGGTCCACTCCATCTCAGGCCCCTGAACTTCACATTTTCTCCCACGAGGAGGACCCAGGCAGACACCCTTCCCACCCCACCCCACCCCATCCCAGGGCACTTCATGCGGGGGACTAGCAGGCCGACGGACAGCACCTTCTCTTCCAGCATCCACTTCTCCTGCTGTGTCTCGGCCAGCCTCTGAAACAGCTCAGCCACTTCCTCATCTGACAGCTCTGCTGGCCGAGGGGGCTGGGCCTGAGGACTGCTGGATAAAGACTACAAGAAAGAAGAGCGAGAAAATGCAGCAATTCTCAGCACCACCCATCCACCTGAGTTGGGGGCCGGAAGCACATGGGCGAGCATCGGCTGAGGCTGGAGCTAATAAAGGCCAGACTTGGCACTCGCAGAAACTTTACATTTCCCTTGGCCTAAAGGGAGGCAGACAGCGTTAGCACCACCACAAGAGCGTCACTGAGAGGACTAAAGGAAATCCAGCAGCAAATGACATCTGACTCCCAGATGACAGGAAATGGAGGCGAGAGTAGAACAAGCTAAATGGGACCATTAAGAAGCAAGCAGAAAACTCTAAAGGTGGGATGTTTCCTACAGGTCAAATGGTTTGGTTTCTTCCACCAGCCGATGTCAGGAAAATAGGATCAGAACAGACACAGCGACATAACACAAACAAGTAGCAACAAAAACCAGTACTGTGGAACTGAATGCTAGCTTTTACAAAAAAAAAAAAAAAAAAAAAAAAGAAAAAAAAAAAAAAAAAAA